CCCCCCCCCGCCTTTTTTTTTTTAAGGGCACCAACCAGCTAATCCTGAATCATACTTTATCCTGAGTGGCCACATTGAATACAATTATTGTTAAAGTCTCGCAAGTGCTAATTAAACTGCAATTCCCTGTTAAACAGCATTTTGGCAAGTTTTCAGTACCAAAAATATTTCTTTCACCCACAAATTAGTGTAGCTACAAACCAGAAGTTGGAAGATCCACCTAAGAAAAATATTCCTATTATTTCATCCTCTGTCATGGAAATTTGTTTCCCTCAAAAGTGAGATCTAGGGGAAAAAAAACCCTCCTGTCTTGCTGAGACATTTGATTCCCAGGTGGGGTGTAAATTAAAGCACTAGTCATCCTTTCCTTAAGCAAGCAAGCTAGAGTATGATTCCCACTACAGAACAAAATTCCTTCCGTCCAACACACCAGGGAGCAAGCAGGAGGACTGTGCCCCTCTGTCTCCTCCACTGTCTGCTGTCCTAGGTCATTGCTTATTTTATCTGCAGCCTTGGAAAACCAGGCTGGCCACTGTCACCAAGGGTTTGTGGTCTCCAGCTTGAGGTTAGCCTTTCCTGGCAGTGGCCACCCCCGCCCCCAGCCTCTTCCTGCTGCCCCCGGAGCGGCAGAAAAACCAAGCCTGACCCCTCAGCCCTCCCGCGCCTCCTCTCCCACACCTCTTCTCTCGCCAGCAGGAAACAAAGCTCTGGCCCAGCTTCAGATACTCATCCTTGAAGAGGTAAAATTCAAATCTGCCGCCCCCGAAGAGCCTTGGGGTGGCTCTGTGGGCGAGCGCAGCGAAGGACATTTGCAGCTAATGCGGACACAATGTGTTCTCTACCCAAACCCGTCTGATAGAGGGAGGCTGGTGGTGCATCAGCTCTCCCAGGATCTACTGCAGATTCCCTGTCCAGAACACAATATAGTGCAATATTCAAAGCCTGGATAACGCGTCTGCCTTTACCCCAGAACGCAAAGAAATTAAGAAACTGTTACTTCCCTCTGGAAAATGAGGCCGAGCTCTAACTACCGCAGCACAGTGACAGGCAGCTACAGCACAACCTGCTGCATATCGTCTTGTCAATGGTCACTGACACGGTATTTTAATCATGAACTTCTCCTAGGCAGTGGATTAATGGCATTGCTAATTGGCAGCTAAAGACAAATTGAAAATGACCC